CTCAAGTAGGTAGCTTAAACCAAACAGAAAGACATTTAGGTGAGTATTTTAGTATTCCGGTTCAACGAACCGATAATGGTGATCGTCTGTTGCAACTATGCTCAGACAATCGTTTATTTTTAGCAAGCACTAATTTTAAGCATAAGGAGAGACATGGTCTGACATGGCGACCACCTGAACCAAACCAACGATGGACTCAAATAGATCATATTGCCATCAGTCATCGTTGGAGAGACTATCGCTCGTTCTGGAATACGTGTTTAGACTCTGATTGTGCTTTAATACTAGCACACATTTCCTTGCCCCTCACTGGACGCAGAAAAGCCATACTAAGAAGACCCATTAGGATTGAACTGGAGGACGAGAAAGTCAAATGTAAACTCCAGGAACAACTGATTTCACATTTAGGCAGTTCTGTAAACGAGACTGACCCAGATGCTGCTTGGAAAGATATATGGACAGCTGTGGAAACAGCAGTAGAAGTCTAAGGAACGATCGTGAGCAGTGGTGGGCAACGAAAGCAAAAGAGATGGAAAAGGCAGCAGCTATAGGCAACTCTTTAGACTAATAAAAGAAACCGAAATTAAGAAGTCAAGTGTAAGCGAGACGAACTCGGAAAAAGACGGAACCCTTATCTGCTCTGAGCCCAAACGTTTAGAACGATGGGCGGAACACTTTAGAGAACAGTTAAGTTGGACTTCAGCTACTCTACAGTTACCCACCATTCCTAAACAGTGTGAATGTAATATTGAAGTAGGTCGCCTGACTCTAGTTGAAGTTCAAAAGCATATAGCTAATCTCAAGCAAGAAGAGCAGCTAGCCCAGATGGATTGGCTCCTGAGGTCTTTAAATATGGTGGCCCTATTTTAGCGACTAGGTTGACTAAGATCTGGGAGTTGCACGTAATCCCATCTGACTGGTCGCAATCATTGATTATCCCAATATATAAGAAGGGGCCATCATCCTGTGATAACCATAGAGGGATTAGTTTGACCAATATAGCATCTAAAATACTAACCTCAATAATTATCGGTCGCCTAACTAAGACTCGTGAACTCCAAAGACGAGCAAACCAGGCTGGCTTCAGACTTGGTGGTGACTGTATCGACCACATATTCACTATTCGTCAGGTTTTATAACACAGGCATGCTTATCGGCGTCCGACAGTGATAGTTTTTCTTGACCTAGAAGCAACATTTGACCCTGTAGACTGAGAGGTTCTGTGGCAGTCTTTGTCATTGAAGGGCGTACCTCAGAAATAACATAAACCTTGTGGGGGCTCTTTACTCGAACACTACCAGTCGAGTGAGAGATTATGGCGAACTGTCATTTGATTTGACAACCTCAAGTGGTGCCCGACAAGACTATCCACTCTTTTCATTTTTGTTTAACTTGATCATAGATCTATTGCTAGAAATAACACTCGTCGACTGAATTTTGAGGAATTGATCTCCTACCAGGAGTTCCACTTATCGACTTAGAATACGCAAATGACATAGTTCTGTTTGGTGAAGATGCTGATAAAATGCAGTCTTTTGATAGCACTGGTTAACAATTCAAGGATATTCGGGTTGCGTTTCTACCCCTGTAAATGTAAATTGTTACTCCAGTTCTGATCAGTGTCAATACCTGAACTAAGGATAGGGAGTGAAGTAGTCGAACGCGTCGACAACTTCACTTATCTTGGAAGTCTGATCAGCAATAATGGGTTAGTGTCTGACGAAATCTCAGCACGGATTCAAAAAGCTCGTTTGGCTTTTGCCAACTTACGTCACCTACGGCAAAGGCGAGATATCCGTCTATCAATTAAGGGACGAGTATACTGCGCAGCTGTTTTCTCTGTTCTACTTTACGGCTGCGAAACGTAGCCATTAATGGTAGAGGATACTCGTGGATTACGTCGTAGGTGAATAACTGACGCAAATAGAGCAATGGTAACTAATTTCTTTAAGCACTTAACTTTCAACTGGTATTTCCCACATTAGGAACGCTGTTCACATACTCAGGTATCAGCAGCCCGGTGGTATTGTTATCCATTATACAATTAGTGTTGCTCAAATCTGAGTACACAAATCTGTACTTGGTACATGCGTTAATCAATAAGGCATGCTCTTAAAACTTATATATAATTATTAGTTGAAGGCGTTTTATTGCCTCCTAATGGTTATTCAAGATAGGGGTGATAAGTCGCTATTTCTGGATGATGTTAAATAATTGTTATGATACCACCTGATTGTATTTTGAATAGTATGTATTGCTCTCAGATACCGTTCCAGTAAGAAATATCAAAATTGAAGAAACAAGTATATCTAGCTGAATTTTTCAAAATAGAATAGAACCCATGTTCTGAATTATATTGCTAGCTACTGTCCAAAAATATAGTTTTTTTTATTGAAGTTCATGATTGTATAGGGCCTTAGAAATTTAAACAACAAATATAAGCTTCTATGATGATCGTATAGAACTATTTCTTGATTATGTTACTGTTATAATGAACTGTAAACCTATTCATATATCGTGTATATTTTTCCTTACAATTTCGAATATGTTTCGTACTTTTTTTTCTCTTTCATGTATTAAACCGAGAACAAAGTAATAATTAGGATAACCATTAATTTTCAGGATAGTGGCTTGTAGTGATATCCTGGAAAAGCGTTTTATCCAATATGAATAGACGGTGAATTTTGCCTGAATGTTAGTATTGATATTTTCAGTGAGACTTAAAACTCGTTATCATCTCTTCACTCTATGACTTATCCACTAGGCTACTGGTCACGGCTGTAAGCAACTAACTCAACGAGTATAATATTGATTAGTATTTAGATATGTTTCCATTTTTTTTTCACTGTTAGTATTCACTTTTTTTTCATTAGTCCTTTTTAAGCCTCTTGAACAAATCCCTTGATTTTTCCTTTCGTGACTCAAAAGACTAATTAAAAACATTTTATCACTTCAAGTGATTGCTCCCGGTCGTGTATTCAAATGTCAGAATTAGTATTGAGAGACGTGTACATCCAAATGACGTATCTCTAATGGGATGAAGGTAACAACTTGGATTCTACTGCCATCCATTATGTAGAAAAAAATAGCTTGTAAAACTAAACAGCATCGTAGCATCGATTCGAGAAGTTTCTGGTATGATAGAAACAGGTCCATTCAGCAACTTTAGAGTACAAAGTCTTAGAAAGAAAATCAATGACTAGCTTTATTAATACATCAGATCTATCTTCTGAGTAAATTTAAAGTACATTGCCAGTTACTACTTCCTATCTTATGAGAGCACCTTATTTGTTTTAGCAAACTAACCTCCAGAACTATGTTCATAATAATAAAGTTGTACATTTTTAATGTAATTTTTATCTTGACCTGACATTGGTTATGGTGTGGTGAACGATACCTTTAAAATCTAATCTAATAATACTGAATTGACAAGAAAAATATTATATCCTACTGTGGTAAACTAAGACTTGGGGATAAAAAGCAATTTATTGTTTAATACAAAATTACGCGGTGCCTTTGTAAAATACAAAAAGCATATATTAAATACATTATTTGCATATCTTTCCCTTACATGCTCCATCATTCCTCTACTTCTGTTGTTATTTCGATAGCTCTCTGATTTCCTTCCTGTTCTGTTCATTTCAATCTCCTGCTGCCAGGTGCCCCACTTCCTATTGCGACTACATACTACTTATATATGTCAACATAAGTAGCATACACCACAGTGGTACCATTAAAGATTATATGACTATTGTGTCTTTGTAGTTTAAGTCTATTTGACAGTTTACAACCACCGCTTCACATTGGGTCGAATCTGCAAATTAAGATTTAGTGATAAGTATGGAATCTTTCAGTTACTCAGTTACTATTTAACTCGTCACAATTTATCATTTCATTTGATTTACTATACAGAACAACTCTGGTCTAATATCAGCAGTAAGAATTTATTTCACTTTGAACATGATGTAATTCTCTCATAATCAGTCTCACAATAGGATGGATTCTCAACCGAATTCCTTGTAACGTCAATGGTTCCCTGGGTATAATCATTTTAATGTGAAAATTACCCCCTTTGAACCACCGGATTCTATACAAAACTATGTTGGTAAATAGAGTGATGATTATGCTGCTTTATCCAGGGATGAAATTTTAGATAGATTCCAGTGGATAATTAATATTATTCTCCAACTATTTGACATAACATAAAAAATCTATTTAAGTAAATAGCTTTGAGTTTAGTATCATTCCATGCTTCATACTCTTTAATTGAAGTTCATTATTAAGTCATGTTTGGCATCTTGAAAACGATGAAGAACAACTAGGGTGGATAACGTGACTTCATTTCATTCCATTAGACTCACAACAACTGATCCTTACAAACTGTTATGTTGCAGCATCAAATGTTACGAATGAATTTCAACATAGTTAGTGAAATGAATCTGGTGAAAAGACGTTTCACCTTGGTGAAACGAAGATCCAAAGTTGAGAATAATAAAAGTAATGACATATTTATAATGTCCCAATGAAAAGTAAAATTCTTGAATTTTCGTAACTCCGTATAAGCCACTTCTTCAGAGAATAAATAAGTTTCTGAAGTAGTGGCTTGGTTTATTTTTATGATTAACAATTTACCCAACACTCAATTTATTTGAAGTTATGAATTCGAACCTTGGTAAAGACACCTAAATGATGCTCTCTTCTTAGCTCCCTATCACGACGTCCCAATAGAAATAGTGGCAACTTAGACAGTACATATTCGTACCAGGTCCTACACTTTCTGTTATCGACTGACTAACCGATAATAGCCCGAGAACTTATTAAATCCAACTTGATAGTTAGTAATTCTTTGTTATATTGTATCACTGCATATCATTCATCAATCAGCCTTCTGTTTATCAGTTATATTTTCAAGATAATTGTCAGCTTCTTCTGATATTTAAAACCAAATCCTTCTAGTAATTTAGAAGTACTGTTTATTTTTCGGTCTACTTTTTGTGTAGGCCAACACCAGTTACTACCAGCAAGTTTATGGCACAATATGAAAACTATTCAAAAGATTCATTCGCAGCACTAAAAGCACAATATCAAGTACGTAATAAATTTTAATTATTCTTGTTGTTGTTTCATCGATTAAAAAAAAATTAATTATTCAATAGCAGTTTCTAGTTCATAGTGAACAAATCTCCAAATAGAGAAAAAGTACAAGTCGCTGCCAATTCTTTCAGTGGAAATAAGATGAATAATTACTAATTTATTGATTAATGCATACACATTCGTCCACTCAGCTTTAAGTTAGTTATAAATGAATAAGGATTGGTGCTGCCATTCTATGGATCAGCTCAACATATATCGATTTTTATTTTAACCTACCACTTAGTGTTAAGTATTCAATCGTTCAATTACTAATCTATCATGTAAAGCTACAAACCAGATAGGGAGAAAAGGTGAAATAATCATCGTCATTCCTAAGGGTCCTGACGATATTTTTCCTGGAAAAACGCTCTTTTTAGTATCGTTATTGGGTTCCTACTGCATACTGCTACACTGTTACCCAAGAGATTTTAATAGGCTAAATAAGATTGCTCTGTGAATTCGTGAATGTACGTCATTGGGAGATCCAATACTAGAACTGAAAGACTATTCAAACCTTTTTGGTTTTAAGAGATTTTTTGGCTGCTGTAATGTAATCAAAACCTTTACAGGACAACTTTACTTGCGACAGGAACGCTGGAGATAGTTTATTTAACTCTGTAAAAACTGAAAAATATAATTCATTAAGTAGTCAAGATTGTTGTACTTTGTTTGACAATTCCAAAGTCGACCATTTCACAGTAAACAAATATATCAAGCTTATCTTCGTTATTTATACTACAGGATAATATTCATCATTATTCAATACTGCGGTAGTCATAGATGACGTAGGACATATCTGTTATAAATTGTAGGATACTTGTTATAACACCAGGGTTTCTTGTTATAACAGTCCTTTCACTTTTTACACGTATGTGTGACGTTAATTTACCTTAGACGAATATCTACACCAGATTTCCCACCCAGTGTTTATTCTACAGGACTTCAACACAACTCAGATCAAGAACACGAGATTAGCCTGACTATAACGTCAATATATTTCCACACCAAAATCTGACACAGCCCAACGACAAGAACAGTCCATCAATAACAGTCAATACATAATAAGGATAGGGGAATATATATAACACATATAACACGCGTCACACTATCTACACATCTGATTCATCAAGACAACCGATCATTGTCATTCTCGCCCACATATCAATGTCACAAATACGTATTAGTCCGATCAGACCAATTTAGCTTGGAGAAGTCAATAAAATGAAGATCTGTGTTGGGTTGTCGTCTGTTTTGCTACTGACAAATAGGCTTCCTACATATGAGCTCAATCAACGAATTATTTGATAAGGGGACAACATAAGAGGCTTTATTGGAGAACTTAGATACGAATATGCACACTAGCTCAACCATAGATACAGATGTGTCTGACGGATAATTGAGCCAAACTTCAACTGTTTGCATTTCTTGTGTCCCTTGGATGATTAGACTAAACATAAACTAATACCCTGCATCCATCAACGTCTTTCATCTATAGTTTGGTTTTAGACTATTACATCCAATTCACCCAACCTATCAGAAACAAAAATGAACCACTGTTATCGATTGATGTGGAAATTTCAATTTAAGTAATAACATCGAGGAATGAATACAAATATAGTATTTATTTGAGAAAGTGGAGAAGATTTGTAGCTCAGGTGGGTGATTTTGATTGTTTGTTCTCTGAGCTGGATGGTTTGGTCGTGGAGCTTTCATCGTCCTTCTGAACGACATCATCAGCACAAACTTCGGGTAGAAGTGAAGTGTTTGAATTTCTCCACATGTGATTCATAGCTTGTCCTCTGCACCTCGATGTTGATTGGTTCTTATTGACCTTAAATCTGTCATTGTTTATTTCTTTATTTTGGTTGTATCTCCTATTGGTTTGATTTTTGTTCCTATGTTCCTGCATAATTTTCTTGATTGGTTGATAGATTGGATTGATTTCAATATGTTTGTTTATTGCTGATTGACCTGAGTGCCAAGCTTCTAAAAATTCTCTGGTATTTTTGGAATTGCCTCTGTCCAAAATCTGCACATTTTCCCAGTCGAATGTATGTCCGTAGTTGTCCACGTGTATTGATATGAGTGAAGAAATGTCGTGGCGTTTGACTGCTAATTGGTGTTCATGTAGGCGAAGATGCAGGGGGCGTCCGCTTTGTCCAATATAGTGTTTGTTGCAGTTTGTACAATTTATCTTGTAGATGATGTTTGTTTTGTCCTCTTTTGCCATTTCATCTTTTGGTTTGCATAAGATTGAGTGGAGGGACATTGTTGGTTTGTGGGCTACACCTATTCCGAAGGTTTTCAGCAGCCTTGTTGTCGTTTCCGATATGTCCTTTATGTATGGTAGGGTGATCCTTTTGTTGATTTTTATACTTGATTTCGTTTCTGATGGTGTGTGCGACTGGTATTTTTTGATGAAATTGATTGGATAGCCGTTCTTTTGAAGAATAGTTTTCAGGTGTTTTTCTTCATTTTTTTCGTGCTGTGATTGTATTGCAGTGTGTTCTCGCCCTCTTGAACAAAGTTTGTACACAGTTGATTTTGTGAGTTCTTGGGTTGTTGCTATTGTAGTTGAGAATTTGGTCGGTGTGGGTCATCTTCCTGTACACTTCAGTCTCTAGTTTTCCTGTGTCAGTTCTGGTGATTAATACATCTAAGAATGGTAACTTGTTGTCCGACTCTTGTTCCATTGTGAACTTGATGTCGTTGAAGACGTTGTTGATCTGCTTGTAGGTGTTTTCTAGTTCCTCCTTTTTGACGATGACGAATGTGTCGTCTACATAACGAATCCAAATTTTTGGTTTGATCACTGGTAGAATTGTGGTTTCTAGTCGTTGCATTACTGCTTCCGCAATGAGTCCTGATATTGGTGATCCCATTGGTGTCCCTTTTGTTTGTTTGTAGATTTTGTTATTGAATTGGAAATATGTTGTTAGACATAGATCTATGAGTTCAAGTAGGCTTTGACTTTGAAGTTTCGTGTATTTCGCGAGGTTTTCGTCGTTGGTTAGAAGCAAGGATAGAGTTTATTTATTTATTTTTCGAAGAATGAAATTTATGAACTGAAAATAATAGGCCTATATTTCAAAAACTGACGACGACTGAACCTAACTGGATCATTGTGAATGGTTTTGCGTCTCGTCACTTAAGGTCTCAAAAGCTTAATAAATTTGATTTCTTTATAAATCTCAGCTTTGACATATATATCTCTGCCACACATTTCGAAATAACAGCCAAGGATTTCTTTGACCGATATCACATGTTGGCTTGTCCACCTCCAAGTTTGTTGCAACCTACTGTGTTAACAACAATCATATCTCGTCAGGGTATAGGTATGTTTAAGCATCGACTCTAAATTATATCTATTCTAGTGAATATTTATGCATTTGCATCAAAATAAATTTTCTTTTTATATTCCTTGTTTAGTTGATAATCAGTAACAGTCAATTTCTAATACAATCAGATATGTTGAGTCAAGAAATTGGGCAAAGGAATACAAATAAACGATTAAATCGTTTTAGTGATATTCTACCGTGTGAGTGTAATATAAAATAAATAAAAAGTATTAGGTTTTTGACATCAAATATCTACTTTACCTTCAGTCTGATAAATCTTTAACCATAATATACAATTCTTAACTTAGAATTATTGTAGAGTAAAAATATATCTTTCAAAATAAATTATCAATCAATAGTAAAATTTAATAAAAATAACTACACCGTAATTGGTACACTAAATATTAGTTTATAGTGGATTAATCATTATGTTAATTATCAGAAGGGGTTTTGTGGAGATTTAGTATTTATCATAGTTGAAAGCGTTAGTCAGTTTTTCCAGTGTTTTCAGGTTTTCCATGGTGGTCTAGCTTCAATTGACTCACGCTTTCAACTATGATAATCATTATGTGTTAAGAATTGAAAATTTAAGTAGTTGGTGAAAGATTGTTAATAACTATTCATTTGATCGCTAATAAAGTTTATTCATATGGTTTAGTGTTAAGTAATCAGAGATGGTGGACAGTAAACTAACCACTTAGACCTTGTCAATAAAGGTAGATTGGTGTCCTCTGTTGTTACTATGGGAAATGTTACCGTTGATTCAGATGGATTAAGGCTGGTTTGCTATAGAGAACTAAGGTGCTCACTTTAATCATTCACTTTGTAATAGCTAACACCATATATTTTAGCTTTTAATTTTGATTAAATTCTATTATTCACATTTTAATGGATCATTTAGGAAAATATACTCGACATGGCGGTACTTACTGCCGTTTAGATAAAGTAATTTTATGAATGACACTTCCCTATTACCTCACATTTGTTACTTTTAACTGGCCTACAAACCTACGTTATACCATAATCTAATTAACACTATCCTATAAATATCGTGACATTATATATAACCTTTTTTAAAAAAATAATCGTCATATATAATTCGGATCGTATGTTTATGATGAAAATTACTGTTAATAGATAAGCTTTAGGTAACGATTGCTATTCTTGGTTGATTGAAATTTTGAAAAAAAATGTAACAGGTAATCTCCGGTTTTCTGGCTATTTTCCAACATTCAACGCCATTGAAATCAACTTGTAGAATTTTTTTGAATGAACGGCAGTATTTTTAATACCACCGTTTCTTTTGACGAACAGCAATGTTACATTACCACACTAACAAACTGGAAGCTATTTTGTTACAATATATATATATATATATATACTGTGGCCCGATATCTGGCTCCAGCAATTGGTTCCAGGCCTTTAATGGAGAGGGATGAGGGGGGTAATCATTTCAACAGCTCATGAGGTTCTGGACCACAAGAAACAACATTTCAAGGAATTGATCACTGTCGATACATTGTATAGGATTCGAGAAATGACGAACAAGAAGGCAGCAATTAATACCAGCCGAACAAGAGCAGAAAAAGCCAAGGCACAAGCCGAATACACAGAAGTAAACAAGCAAGTGAAGAGGAGCATCAGAACCGACAAACGTAGTTATGTGGAAGATTTAGCAATGACGATGGAAAGGGCTGCAAGAGAAGGGAACATGAGACAATTGTATGATACAACAGAGAAACTCGCTAGATATTACCGTAAACCGGAACTACCAGTAAAAAGCAGGGAAGGCAAGGCAATCACCAACATTGAAAAACAGCGAAATAGGGGGTAGAGCACTTCAAGGAACTCTTAAATCGACCAGCTCCATTGAATCCACCCAACATCAAAGCAGCGCCCACGGACCTCCCAATAGATGTTTGTTATGACTTGATCAAGGTCGTCGCTAATTTGTTATGACCTTACAAACTAAACAAGGACGTAACTCGCGCGAATTATCCACCAATAAAAATACGTCCTCTCCGACCTTAACACGGTGACAATCAAGGACTTTCAATCAGTATGAGTAATCTCACGTTCTTATTGGTCCTTAATCCGCTTAGCCCGTCCGCTTGAGTCCAGAACACAAATAGCAGCTTCTGTCATGCGAATCTATGCGAATCATTTATTTCAAATATACTCTGTTTATATACCAGACAGACAGACCACATCACACCATAAAATAGAAAATAATATTTGTACAAAATCAAGCCAAATGTGGCTGTGAGCGTGGGAGACAATAATCAATAAACTGAATATAACTTAGGAACAATAAATCGTATAATAATAATCAACAGGTCAAAATAAAGCTTGTAATAAGAATAATATAGATATGGATAATCTAGTTACTGAATAGTTATACAATAGGAATATACATAGAATAATAGTCCAATAATAGGTCCCATATGTTATCCGTACTTACTTCTTCCCTGGTATATAAAAATGTTGGCCCACCAACAACTGAAGAGATCAGTATGGCTATCAGACAAATCAAGAGCGGCAAAGCAGCAGGACCAGACAAAATTCCAGCAGAAGCACTGAAAGCAAACGTAGCAGTAACTGCAAAGGTCCTCAACATTCTCTTCAGTAAGATTTGGAATGAAGAACAAGTACAAACAGACTGAAAAGAAGGATACCTGATCAGGATACCAAAGAAAGGCGATCTCAACAGGTGTGAGGACTAAAGGGGCATCAATCGTCTCTCCATACCAGGGAAATTCTTCAACAGTGTGTTGTTAAATAGAAAGAAGGACGCCCAACTCCGGAATCAACAGGCTGGATTCCGTAAGAATCGATCGTGTACCGTTCAAATCACAACACTACAGATTATTGTGGAACAATAATTTGAATGGAATTCACCACTCTACATCAACTCCTTTGACTACGAGAAGGCATTTGATAGAGTGGTCAGGACAACACTATGGAGGCATCTTCGATACTATGGCTTGCCTGAGAAGATGGTCAGCATCGTACGGAATTCCGATGATGGATTAAACTGCAAAATCGTGCATGGAGGACAACTCACTGACTCGTTTGAGGTAAAGACCGGTGTCAGGCAAGGTTGCTTACTCTTACCCTTTCTCTTTCTCCTGGTGATCGACTGGATTATGAAGGCGTCGATATCTGGGAGGAAGCACGGGATACAGTGGATAACTAGGATGCAGCTGGATAACTTAGACCTCGCAGATAATCTGGCTCTTCTATTGCACACGCAACAACAAATTCAGGAGAAGATGACCAATGTAGCAGCAGCCTCAGCAGCAGTAGGTCTCAACATACACAAAAGGAAAAGCAAGACTCTTCGATACAACACAACATGTAACAATCAAATCACACTTCACGGAGAAGCTTCGGAGGATGTAAAATCCTTTACACATCTGGACGGCATCATCGATGAGCATGGTGGATCTGATGCAGATGTGAAGGTGCGAATCAGCGAAGCAAGAGCAGCATATCTACAATTGAAGAACATCTGGAACTCAAAATAACTATCTGTCAACCAACACAGAGGTCAGGATTTTCAATACAAATGTCAAAACAGTTCTACTGTATGGGGTGGAAACTTGGAGAATCGCAAAAACCATCATCCAGAAAATACAAGTGTTTATTAACAGTTGTCTACGCAAAATACTTCGGATCCGTTGGCCAGACACTATCAGCAACAATCCGCTGTAGGAGAGAATAAACCAGATTTCAGAGGAGGAAGAAATCAGGAAGAAGTGCTGGGACTGGATAGGACACACTTTGAGGAAAGCACCCAACTGCGTCGCAAGGCAAGCCCTCACTTGGGATCCTCAAGGCCAGAGGAGAAGAGCAAGACCAAAGAACACATTACGTTAAGAAGTGGGGATAGACATGAGAAGAATAAACAACAATTGGATAGAAATAGAAAGGAAGACCCAAGACAATGGGTTGGAGAATGTTGGTCGGCGGCTTAGACTCCATTGGAGGGTAATAGGCGCAAGTAAGTATGTATAGTCTGTGCAACGATCCCTAAAGACGGATCATACTTTTAGCAATTATTAATTTTTAATATATATTTCAATCCGCAAAATCAACTAACTGCTCGTTTTATTGTCTCAATAAATTTATCTTAACATTTTTAGATGATCAAACGCGAGTGAAGTTAAAACCACTTCAAAAAACCAAACAGGTAATTTATTCTTCTCTATCTACTGCTGTCTAATTAGTCTATATAAGCTGAGGAGAAATATACTTCCGGCAAAATGTTAAGTTAAAGAACATCTGTTCATAAATAATAAAGGTAGTATAATCTTTTGAGATAAACTTGTCATTCGGAATATGATTTCACCTCACTAATAATTTCTTATTTAGTTTTATGAATTGATTACTACATAAACATTATTGATTATGGTTTATTTGTTTTTTTAAACTGGTTGGCATCAATTTGTATGCACTAGTCGTTAATGTGACAACCTAAAGATTTATCTCCTCGACTTTGGACTATACATTTTTTGTGTAACAGTTGAGGATACCATTTGTCTGACAGAGTTTGAACGTGGAATATAGTGATTGAAGTTCTAGCAATTTAGTCACCTATTAGAAAGAATTCATGACATTTTGACTTGATATTTAATGAATTGGCTTCATGTGGAAAGTCATCTAGCTAATCAGTGCTGAGTTTAATTCATTCCGAGTTGTATCACTTTCTAATCAATAATAAAACAAATCTATAAAAGCAACATGTAACTATTCTAAGTTAGTGAGGGACTTATTTTATATCTACCCATCTTTTTTCTGATTCGCACTACGTTACATATGAGAAAGTGTTATTGATATTATAATGCTATCCATCCACTCAGAATAAATCCAGAGATGTCGCGAAATGTTTTCTAAGTTCCTGTCCATAATCTATTATTGAATGAATCTCTACATATAACACATGAGGAAATTTCTGGTTTGTAAAAGTGTGTGAAAAACCTATTCCAAATTTTGCGGACATTTCACCAAAAGCTGAGAAGGACGGAATGCTGCATCTACTGGACAAAACTCTTAAACTTCACGTTTCCCTGAAAGAGGTATCACTGTCAACAATCCATAATTCTATGATTATAACGTCAAGCTTTTCTTTTGAAGACTACTTGTAATGTTTTGAACAATAGATACAACGATAGAAAAAGTGTTCTACTGAAAATAATTAGTGTTTTGCAGTGGATTGGATTGATGTACTTTAAATTTACAAAAAAGATTTTTGATCAAGGTTTGTTTATTAATTGAACAGATTAACAAATGAAATAAGGTAAACATGCCATGATCATTCTGAATATTTGTTCCTCTGATATGGGAAAGCGATTAAAATTGTAAAATCAGATCTTTAGATCACCATTCAGTGGCTGAATTGTGTTTCGATCACTGTGATGTGTGTAGTGTTGAGTTTTATTTGGTATGGATTATTCGTAGCAAACTTGTGGGCAATAGTTGTCCTGTCGATTTCACTTTAGGAAAACACTGTTTCTTAATCAAACAGTTCTTACTGAGCTATTCGATTAAATATTTATTTAAAGTAATTGATACCTTATATAAATCTCTATAAAGCAATGAAAAGACAGTTGATCTGAAAAATGTGATGTATTCGCTCTAAACATTTTCTTCGGAACCGAATAAACTAGAGGCTTTAGTGTTGACTGACACCTATTTATAAACTTTAGTGGAGAAAAAATTTATATTCATCTACCATATAGAGGTGAATCAAACAGTTTGGTTTTAAGACATATTTAAAGCAGTCATCGAGAAAAACTATTATGCTGCTAAACTAATTGTGATTGAAAAGTTTAAGCCCATGATTCTAAATAGACCTAGACAATGCACAAATGATTATGTCACATCCCATAGCATTTACCAATTTATATGTTTGTGCGGACACATACATAGGGAGAAGTCATCGGAAAATTTAATCAAGGACCATGGAACATGTGCCTAGATGGCTCCAAAATCAGTTGATGTCAAATGACCCGATCAACGTGGGAAGTAGAAAACCATGTTCATCGATAGCAAAGCACATAATTGAAACGAGGCACGAAATTGACATCAATAAAGGTTGTATCGGAAATTGTCAAGAACGAATTCTCAGGTTTATTGAAGCCTTGGCTATCCGTAAGTTTAAACCCCTCTTATGTTTACAAAAACAATTTGTCGTAACCTTGAATTTACCCTGGTAATCCTTAAGCCACTTTATGACCTAGGGTGATGAGACAATTTCCTATTCTTTCTATACGATGTAGAAAAAGTTTCTCTCCCCTTTATTACCTTCTTTTACGTGAACTTTCATTTAACTGACCTTTATTAATCTTCATATAGAATGCCATGACAAGTATATGTGTGACCAGATTGTTCGAAATGTTCAGCACAAATACATCACATTTTTCATATCGACTCCGTCTTCTCATTGCTCTATCGGAATACTTATTTGCTCACTTTGCTTAATGTAGCTCAAATAAACACATATGCGCAAAGATTCCTAATATATTTTGTCCATTTTATAGGATCACGATTATGTGAATGCAAGTTTTATTTATGAGATAATACCTTGTGCAAGTGTCTACACACATCCTGTACTAAACAGAAATAAAATAGCGTACATTGCATCACAGGCACCATTAGAATCAACAGTTGGTGATTTTTGGAGAATGGTTCTGGATCAAAATATTACCATTATCGTTATGCTTACAAAGTAAGTGATTTTTATCAATATATGTGGTCTGTCCAACGATAATGCGAAATAGTTTATTGAAATTTATAGTAAAACAAAAAGGCTCTCAGAAAATTTTCGAAATATTGAAATTTATTTATAGAATTCACAGATTGCTGGAAAACTGAATTTTTTAAAAATTGTTTGGAAACTATGTGTAGGTGAGGGGGGGCCGTTTGTTCCACGCAAAGTTGTCAGTTTTGCTGCTGGATAAAGTCTTCATCGCAGCATCTATTCTGTGATTAATTGTTTCAGTAATTTTATTTCCTTTGAAGCGAAGACATAGGGAGCAGGTTTTCCTTTCAGCTGTATCACACTTAATATGTTTGTTTGTTCCAGTATACAATTTAGTGAATAAATGCGAAAGACGTGTTGGTCATTCTGTTTATTAAAAAATTGCACAACTGAAAATTTAGGATACTCAAAACGTATCACAAATTAGTTAGTCATGGGATCCCAAACTCCATTGAATTCAAGAATAATATAAGTACTGTTCATTAGAAGGTTGATGAAATGATGCCAAGTTCTTATGTTTCTTGTCTATTTGCTGATGTACCTATCAATAGTGTTGGATGTTATTTATGGTTGTTTAGAATCTGAAACATTTAAACTTACGATGCCTGTTAGATCATTGAATGTTTGTAATTGTGTTTTCATCTCATCATATTACGAGATCTTCGACGGCAAATATGGACTTGCCAGTTCCACCGATTGTAGCGAACTTACTAATTCGTTCTTTGGAAACTAGTGCGACCATGAAACGCATAATTACACTTAAAGTTTGGTTACTGCATGTAAATGACACCTTTTCGTTATTAGGCGAGATGATTCTAAAGAAACATTTGAATATGTAAACATATCGGATCTCACTAAGCTGACCAAAGTGATAGAACCTATTAACCATAAACGAATGTTTCTCGATCATTCTGTTTGAAGAAGACTTAATGATAAAATAAAAATTAGTGTGTGGTGGTCGATGTTCGATATGATCCCTAACTTCGTATATTGTTCGCCTTGATAACCGTTACTCGATAACACCCTAACGGTGCATAAATCAGAAGACGAATACGAAGGGTCGATTGCGTTTATTATTGAACCACACACAGGTATCCAATATTACAGGCACTTTAAGCAAGCATGAAAGAGTAGTGCCGTAAAACAGGCGAGTGAGCGTGCGAGCCGATTGATTGAGTAAGCGTGTACAATACGGTGTAGCGTAGAGCAGAGTAGCGAGCAAGCAGGCAAGCAGTAAACAGGATTAAGATGTACATATATATATAAGTGGAAAAGCATGAGTCATCGGATCAATTAAGCGATTAATAATAATGCTAGCGGAATGAATGCATGCGTAGGCAGTAAGCAATGTTCAAGCGTATATAATAAAAGTACAATGGTATAGATAGGTTGTTGTTGTATGAATGACTGTCCATTAAATAAGTTAACAAAAGAGCTTAGCCAGATTAGATGTAAACAAACTCAAAGTATAAATGAGCATTGGTTGCAATTGCGTGACGCCATGAAAATGGCGAGTAAAATCGTTTATGGCTTTGCGAAACGTCCCGCTTATAAGAATCGGGTTTCTTCAGGCTCCTTATGACTCATTGAAATCTATCGGTCTACCCCGGGTGATCACAAAAGAAGGCTGTTATGTAATGAAATCGGACGAAGCTTGCGTAAGGACGGAGAAGCCTGGTGGTCGGAGCGTGCTAATTAGTTGGAATCATCAGCTGCATCTGGCAACTGCCGGAAGCTCTTTCAACTCATCTGAGTCACTGGCAACAAGAAGTCTGATGTAAGTGAAACAATCTGTGATGACGGGATGCCAATCAATAGCATCTATCAACGTCTTGGACGATGGACAAAGTTTTTTGAGAAGCATTTCAACTGATCTGCTGTACCAGAAACATCGATCAGACTGTCCTACCCTCCATGGACCGTGACAACTGATCCACCTAACGAGGCGGAAGTCCGCGAGGAACTCCAACTTTTGAAGTGCAACAAATCAGCAGGCTCAAGTAACTTACCTCCGTCCGTTTTTAGACTTTCTGATTATAGAAGTGACTGAGTTATTTATAAAGGTCTTGCAATTAGAGAGTATTCAAACACCGTAGAATAAGTCAATAGTTGTCCCCATCTTTAAAAAAAGGCTCAATTCACCTATCCAACAACCATTCAGGGATAAGTCTTCTTCGGATTGCATCCAAACTATTGGCTTCCTTCATACTTCGTAGATTGTTCAAAACCCGAGAAAGATTGACTCGCGAGGAGCTGGCTGGTTTTCGTTCTAGTCGAGAATGTATTGATCATAACTTCATCCTTTACCAAATGTCATACTTATCACAGGCCAAAAATCGTAGTGTTTCTTGACATCAGGGAAGCCTTTGATTCGTAGGACATGACTGTTCTCTAGGATTACCTATTGAAGAAGGGTGTGCCTGAGAAGTTTATTAACATCTTGAAAGCCTTATATACTAACACCCCAGATAGAGTGAGGGCATACAACCACCTCTCTCCGTTGTTCCATTCAAGCAGTGAAACTAAACAGCATTGCCCGATCTCATCATTTCTCTTTAACTTTGCTATCGATAGCGTTCTTGAAACATCTCTGGTGGATGTAGGGAATGGCGATGTTGACCTGTTACCTGAAGAAAGACTTTTCGACTATGAGTATGAGGATTATATCGCCTTGCTATGCGATGATACACATGTCATGCGATCCGCACTTAATCAGCTGGCAATTAGTGTCCATAGGTATGGTATGTGCTTTGCACCTTCCCAGTGCAAAGTACTTTTAAAAGACTGGCAAGATCCTGATTCTGCACTCACCCTGGGTAGTAAACAGATAGGTTCATGATGTCCTGCGAACATCAAAATAATTGTTCATTGTATGTCGAAAACAATAAACTACGTGATATTTCCATAGTTGATTTTTTTTGTGACAATTTAGTTTCGAAACGTTAGTTGATTGCTTATCTTCACGCATAGTGATTACCTTTAATCCTCTAGTTGTTCAATGAATGATGAAATCAAGTCTAGTATCATATGACTGTGAAATGATCATTATCTTCAAAATCAAATACTGTTAGTTGCTGAACGATCAGAGGTCATACAACACTGAACAATTGTTTCGTTCTAATCTTTGACTTCTTATCTACATACACTTTATCAGATACTGTTGACGCAAGACCTATGTGCTCTATAATCAATATCATAGTAAACTGTTACAGTTCGTAGTTGCGATCTTCGTTGAACTAGACAAAATCTGCATAATTAAGTAAATTCTCTTTATTTCAAAACTTTCTGTTACTTTTTCTTGGTTAATTGTTTCTATAGATTATATGAAGATAATATATCGAAATGTTGTCAGTATTGGCCAAATGATATTCATGAATCATTAACATTCCAGTCAGATTACTTGAAACTAGAAGTAACTTTATTATCTGAAGAAGATCATCATATATACATTTTACGTAAACTATACATTACTTCTGTATGTGTACATTTGATCCTACTCTTTTACATTCTTGCTTTTTATATTTATTTAAGCTTAAATTAAATAATGACCACTGGATTCCTGCTCAATACTCTAAATATAAAATCCTCACCAAGTGTTAACAGAAGTTCACACTATTGAGGACTCTCAAAGTAGAATTCAATGACTGCCTAGTGAATTCTAGTCTTCAGAGATTCGCTAGTTAAAATCAGTTCATCATGAAAACTTTATTTGTAAAGAAAATTAATCACAAATATGTTCAGTCAGTCTCAACGTCGATTCAAGTGGTCACAACCCATTATCACAGAGATATGAAATTGTTAGGCATATATGTCCAGGTATATATGTATTCAGTCATCGAATTTTTTCGGAAAAAAACTTGCTGCAGTAGTTTGTGCTGAGAATGCCACATCATAATAAACATATAGTATTAAATAAAGCCATTAATAATAATAATAATAATAACTGACAAAGTCTGGACATATCCATAGTAAATCAGTCGTCATCAGTGGGATTGGATGTACGTTTCGCTTTACTATGAGCCGATGCAAGTTAGGATTGTCAGCCAAGTAGTCTACTGGTTAAGCACGTAATATAAGACCTGAAAGTCTCAAGTACAACTTCTGGAAGCGTCGTGACTGTGCACAATCCAGAAATTCCATACATGAGAAAAACATGTAATCAATGCACAGAATTTCGATAGTATACTAAATGAGATCAATCTGTGATGACTAATACCGACAAATTTACTCTAAATGTTTACTATTTCCAACCACTGAACAATGTAAATAAGTCTATAGTTGTAGTAGCAAATTTAATATGATAAACTTGAATCTATGTGATTGTTATCTATTGTACATTATAAATCGATCTTCACGTAACAACTATGTCATATTAGTTAAGTCTTTAGAATCGAATTCAACAAAGGATTTTACCAAAGAAAGGTTATAGTGAAATTACAACAATTGTGTGCAACTAACTGTCTTGTATTCTACTATCTTTCAGTAACTATTCAAATAAAATTAAATCATGCTTAAGTAGTCATTATTTATTTACAGAGTTGACTTGATCGTAAGACAATCTAAATAATAAACAGTACTTCTTATGATTTTCTTCATAAGATCAACTATCAGTCAAATAACCCAGAAAATTCCAAATATGTTGTACAGTTTCATATGATGACTTGGCCAGACTTTGATGTACCAAAATTAAGTGAATTTCAAACACTTATGAAAGATTATCGTGAATTAAAGTGTGGAGAATCACATCGATATTCTCCAACTCTTGTGCATTGCACGTAAGTAATTAAGTTTTCAATTTACGTTCCTTTTCTTAATAGCATATTCTATAACTAGATTTTTTGATAGTTGGAGGTCGCTAAAATAGTTCTGGATAGCATTCATTGTTATTCCTTCCTTCTTTGTTTCAAAGGATACTTTGATGACCATGGATCTATGAGATTTCCTCCTTGCAGGCGATTTTCATTCCTTTTCGGACAGTATCAGTTCTTTTTCACGACCAGAATGCAACAAAATCTCTCCCAAAGCTAGTTTGCTTCGTCTTGCTTGTGTCCAATGGGCTTTACTCATTCCATTCTGAAGCCAAATGAAAGAACTTTCGATGACTAAGTAGAAACTTCTAGGATTTTGAAAGTATAAAGAGAATTTCTAGACGAAATAGATCTATCAGTAACAACTTATCAGCTGAGTAGTAGATAAAATGTTATCATAAAGCGTATGGTCGTTTCTTCCAGTTTCTAAACAACTAAACCGGCTAACAAACAAAAAGTCTATAACTTCGTTTGGTTAATTTCATATATATATATATATATATATATATATATATATATATATATGGTTGAATCGTTGAAGCACATTTATCCTCTGAAGTTATCAGTTAGATTCGTACTTAATTTATATCTCCTCGAGCGTGTAGATAACACCAACACTCCTTGCTCTTAATGTATAACACAAGGCCGATTAAATGAACATTCACTTCATAACTGATAATCGAATAAAATTTACTCATTGGTTACTTCAGTAGAATGTGAATATTAATTCAGTATGAAAGTGGTTTTCACCAAGAGATAATTTATGTTGATAAGAACAACAAAAATAGAAGAGGACTGAACACCTGCATTGTCTTAGTATGAAATTTCTTATCAATATACACTTATAATCTCTAGGGATCGGACTCGAAGCTTAGGATTCATGTAGAATACCTTACTTACCGAATAGTCGTTTTTCTCCCAAATTGTATGTGTTTACTGCCCATACCAAATCGAACCTAGGACTCTGAGCCAATTATCATTCGGTTGATAAGTTAGTAGCAAAATCCTTTTCCCAATTCCCACATAATGTCGTTTCAAAACCTCCATATCGAATACAAATACGTATGTATATTGATTTTTTACTTAAAATAACAGGGCTGGTGTTGGTAGAACTGGTACGTTTATTGTTGCTGATTTATTACAAATCTATACAGAATCCAATTGTGTTTATTATGATATACCTGGTATCATTTTACAAATGAGACGATGTCGTCCGTCGATGGTACAAAAAGTTGTAAGCACTTAATTTTATGTTAAACTAATTGGTTCGGGCTGAAAATGGTTTACAGATAATTCAACTTTATGTATTCAGTATAAATTTGTAAAACAGAAGCCGGTCTTTATACTGCTGTATCACACTTCTTCCTGAGATATCGTGTCCAACAGCTTACATTTAGAACTAATCATTGTTCAAAACAGCCGTTCGATACATCCCGGTCTTACAACGATTCTCTGACTGATATCATTTCCTTGATGATAATTGTCTTCAATTTGTACTAAACTCAGAAAAGCCCTCAACCAACCAATAATCTCTTGAGAATTGGTTATTAGATTCCAACTGGATTCCTAGTGTTCCAATGTGATGTTATGATCAATAGAATTCAACCATATCCCTCGACGATAGTAGCAAATTAACTGAAGCTTAAAAATTAATACAATCCAGCGAACATTAGAGATAATTAGGTGAAATTAGATGTGAGAAGAATAATCGTTCACTTGATGAGTATGAAAAGGGCGAAGTATGAACTAAAAAAAGTCAAGGTGATAATAACGAATAATTTAAGTCAAGAAGATTAAAACATCAGCAGGACATAATAAAATCGAACTCCCATTTACCAAAATCAAGTATTGACGCCATGACTTACCTGAGAAAATTTTCACCATCATACAAAAGTCTTACGACAGACCACACTGCAAAAACCGTGTGTGGAGGTCAACTGACAGATGCATTCCTAGTGCAGATCAAACAAGACTACTTACTCTCTATTTTGTACTAAAAGTTGATAGGATTATGAAGACCTCCCCTTCCTGGAAAAGCACAGGATACAGTGAACAGCTTAGATGCAACTAGGCGTTTTAAACTTCACAGATGACCTGACTTTTGTATCCCATTCACACGAACAAATCCAGGTCAAGACAACCAGTTTAGCAGAAGACTCTGCATCAATAGACCTTAACATACACAAGGGAACATGCAAGATCCCGAGATACAACACAGCGAGCCCTAACGAAATCATTCTTGATGGAGAGGCCGTGGAAGAGGTGTAAACTTACATACCTGGTCAGCATCATTGATGAACAAGATCTGTTGTAAATGTGAAGGCATTGATTAACGAAACAACGGTATCATCCCTAAAATTGAAGAACACATTGAACTCAAAACAACTGTCAGCCAATATCAAAGTCAGAATCTTCCATGCGAACGTCAAAACAGCTTTATTGTACGGAGCTGAAACTTGGAGAACTACTACAACCACCATCAAAAAGGTACAGGAATTTACAAAGAACTGTTTGTTTGGTGAATAATCCGTGGAAGAATGATGGCTTATACGTGTCTCTTTCGCAAACAGAGTTCAGATTTGAGAAGATTCTTTTACTAGGACCTCTGAAGCGCATAGGTTATTAATTCGCGCTCCTTTCGAACCAAGTCATCTGACTGTATAGACAAGTTTAATAGGATTATCGGGTAAGGTCATGTGACCGGAGTTCACAAGATGTCCTAATATTGAACTGTTGATTGACTTACATTCACCTTTCAAAAGTCAGGCGAAATAATGTTCGGACATGCGTTTGGAAAGCGCTCACATTGTGTGGCTTGTGTAATCTCCCTTACATGAGCAAGTGAACTTATAAATACACATTTCTGTGGCCTAATGCGAGAGTTTATTGTTTGACACATCTAGGAATTATTTGACGGCTGGAAGGGACGATGCGAAGCTTGGCGGCACATGATGTTTACCTCAAGTGTTACGTTAGACTGTATAAAAAATATTAGTTTATCTTGTCATAAGAAACGCAGTTTTGGAATGGGATTCATTAACTAGTGAAGCGAATCCTGTACTAGCATTACGGAAATGTTTTGATGTCTGTCGCACGCTTGAACGGTCACCACTTTTAACTAAGTTTCATCTCACACAAGAAAGAAACTGTGTGAATGATGAAAGCTAGGGAAAAGTGGATAGCTACTTTGCGCTAGTGTAGCACTCGTTAGCGGCGTCAACTTTGATTCGTTGGAGAGGATCGTACTCTGGGGTTGTCCGTTGAAGAAAAGTGTGTCTGAAAAACTTACTAACATCTTGAGCACTGCATACAAATACCTCAGCATAAAACTACTACTCCCCATTCCTCCTGTGACAATCACAGAGAAATCAGTTTGACTAATATAGTGTCTAAAATATTAGCTTCAATAATACTTGAACGCCTAACCAAAGCTCATGAAGAGCAGACTAGAGAAAACCAGGCTGGTTTTCGACCTGGACGTGGTTGCATAGACCAAATATTCACTCTACGTCAGGTCTTAGAACATAGACACACATTAAGACGTCCCACAATAGTAGTATTTCTTAACCTTAAGGCGGCATTTGACTCAGTTGATCGTGAGGTTCTATGGCAGTGTTTGTCACTGAAAGCAGTACCAAAGAAGTACATTAACCTCATAAAGGCTCAATACTCGAACACAACTGGTCGAGTTAGAGCCTATGACTAACTGTCATCAGAATTGGTTACCTCAAGTGGTGTTCGCCAGGGCTGTCCACTCTCCCCATTCTTGTTTAACTTTGTCGTTGACATGCTTTTAGAGGTAGCACTTTCATCATCTCAATCTCCTGGAGTTGAACTTTTACCAGGAGGCTCACTTGTTGACTTAGAATACGCCGACGACATAGTTTTATTCGGTGAAGACTCTGACAAAATGCAGAGTCTTCTGACCACTATAAGCAACAATGCATGCATGTTCGGGATGCGATTCTCCCTCATGAAGTGCAAAATGTTATTTCAGGATTGTGTTGCATCGACACCTGAACTAATGATAGGGAGTGAAGTAGTTGAGTGTGTCGACCGCTTCACTTATCTTGGGAGTCTCATCAGCTCTTGTGGTCTGGTGTGTGACGAAATCTTAACACGGATACAGAAGGCTCGACTAGCTTTCACCAACTCGCGTCATTTATGGCGTAAGCGAGATATTCGTCTAGCAACCAAAGGAAGGGTTTACTGTGCAGCAGTTCGTTCCGTTCTACTTTATGGCAGTGAAACATGGCCAATAAGAGTAGAGGACATTCGTAGACTACTAGTATTCGATCATAGATGTCTTCGAAGCATTACTCGTATATGATGGGACCACCGAGTAAGTAATGCAGTTGTTAGGAAACGGGTACTAGGTAATGATGGCAAACCGATTGATGAAGTAGTGGAACTTCATCAGTTGAGATGGCTGGGACACGTGTTACGTATGCCCAACCACCGACTGCCCCGACATGCAATGTTTTATGGTGTAGGAGTAGGTTGCAAGAAAGCTAGGGGCGGCCAGACCAAAATGTGGCACAAATCCATGAAGTCACTGACAAGTGGAGTGAGCCATGTTGGTAGGTGTAGACTACCTGGTTGAGATTTGCGAGATGATAGTAATCGATGGTTAAAGACCTTGAATGACATGGCTCAAATCGTTTGCAATGGCGAAGGTACATCCACTCATTGTGTTCTGCCAAAGTCTAATCTTCTAAATTCTACATGTCCCTATCGTTTTTCTCTTTCCAAATTTATTTCATTGTATTATACTCCTTCAATAACATCTTCAAACCTTAATCTTTCCGATTACTGCTTATACTCTTACTACTTTTACCATTATGGGATTTGAATCGACAACTGCATCTCTGTGCTAATGTGGTATGGCAACTCGAACTGATGTACGTACGTACGAAGTTCTACGTTGTAACTGACTGACTGACTTCTCCCCAGTGTTCCAAATCAGCAGTGGGATATGTTAGGTTTGCCCAATCTCACTAATCTTCTTTAGCATTGCCATCGATGATACCCTGGGAACATCTCTGACGAAATTAGGCTATACTGGTGTGTATCTGTCACCTGAGGAGAGATTTTTCGAACCTGAGTATGCGAATGATATTTTCTTACTGTGGATGATACTTAAGATGTGGAATGCGCACTTATTCAGGTGGCAATCAGTTTCCGTAGCATGGCACGTAGTTTTTAGCCTCTAAGTTCAAGCCGTTTTTACAAGACTGACGGGAGTCTGTCCTTATACTCAGTGTTTTTAATGAGCCTTTAGAACTAGTCAAAAAGGTTAGCTAATCTGGGTAGCTGTTTGAGTGCGTGTGGTGACGTGAGTGATGAGATCAATTTACGTATACTGAAGATTAGAGAGGCTTATGCCAATCTGGGCCATGTTTGATGACCTCATTATATAATTCAGGCTGTAAAAGGACAGATTTACAATGTGTTGGTGAGAGTGGTTTTGTCCTATGCTTGTGAAACCTGGCCTCCTTCAGCTGAAAATGTTAAACGACTATCCGCCTTTGATTATCATTGTTTATGAAGGTTTCCCGACATTCAGTGACAATACCATGTTAGTAATGCAGAGGTTCAGCGGCATGGGTTCAGGCACAATTACAATAATCAAGTTGGTTTCATCATCTTGAAACACTGTCTTTGCTGTTACGGATGTCTTCCCAAAGAACTACACATCGTGCATTTTTTACCGATATTTAGACTGGTTGGTAAAAGGGGAAAGTTATCGAGTTTGTTACAATTTTGTGGAGTATGCAAAGGAACTATTCAGGACTGACATCTATCGGTTTTTCAGAATCCTCTGGTTGGTGTCCTATATGTCGTGCATACCTGAAAATAAAAGCCAGTGGTGATGATGTCGTAATTTTGTTTTATTCCTTTCAAAATTCGGAGGATCTTCTTTAACTGAAGGGATTCTTCTTGGCTGTATTTTTTCTAAATTGGACTGTTTTTATATGCGACTCTTTTTCACTTATTGTTATTCATTTAATTTTTGGGTTATACTCATCCTCATTTCTCTACCTCTTCACAATCGTATTTCTTTATTATGCGGAATACATTTGTTTTGGTGCTTTTTTGGGGCAGTATTCATGTACTTAAATAAATAGATAAGCTCATGCACCCATTTGGCATCAAATCCAGTACATGGAACCGTGGAGAAGATTTGTAGCTCAGGTGGGTGATTTTGATGTAAGTTTGTTCCAACTCAGAGAACAAACCTACATCAAAAGAAGAACCGTCTCAGTTAACACGATGCTGTTAAATCATTGAGTCACAATTTATTTGTCCACATCTTTGAATGTCAAGCATTTCACAATATTAATAGGTTGCGTCTAACTGATTGTCATTAGGAATGTATTCCATCAATAACGTCTTCTGAATACGAAATCGTTCCAAACTTAATCACTAGTGATGAACCTGAGATCCTAACCTCTGTGAAGTGCACTGCAACAGTTAAATATTTTCGTGTTTTCATTGGTTTTCTAGTTAGTCTTAATTGTAGATATCAAACTTAATGTCAGACAATCTAGAAAAATGATCCCAAACTGATTTCTATTCGTTGTTGTTTTACATCAATTTCAGGAGCAATATATATTTCTTCATCAGTTTGCTAATACATTATTTCGATGACATTAGTTTTACCGAAAATATTAACAACTTTGGAATTATATGTTTACTTCAAATAAGACTCATCATTGTGATTTTAAAAAATTTCCCGTAAGTTCAAATTTTTATTATAAATAATGTATAACGTAATATTTATTTAATTACGTTCCTAATTGTAAAAAATTGTTTGTATTTAATTATAAGATGTTTAAATTTATTCATAGATGCTTAAGAATAAAACTTGGTAGATTTCATTATTAATTTCTTTTCTTCATTCCTAATCATTAATATTAGTGATATTTGTGAGAAATATGTCCCCAAAACTGTATCACACATAATAAGTAAATAAGTCTGGATTATTTTGAAAAAGTTTTTAAAAGACTAGAATCAACAAATGATAGCTCAAATCCACCAATTTGCGTTATCTTGGATTTCACAGTGTTCTGCACCTTAGCAAATTAACTGCTGGCTAAGACTTATTATCCGGATCTATGTTCAAATTCAATGGAATGATGCTTCTTTACAAACCTAAACCAGATTCATAGACATTAACATTGAGTGTTCCCAGCTAGTAGTGCCCTTCTGAATGACTGTGAATTACAAAATTTGAAGTTAGACATTAACACCATTGGATTCCGGCTCGGTGGTCTATCGGTTAAGTGCTTCGGCTCGAGACTGGTAGGTCCTGGGTTCGAATCTTGCGGGTGCGGGATCGTGGATGCGCACTGCTGAGGAGTCCCATAATAGGGCGAAACGGCCGTTCAGTGCTTCCAAGTTTTCGATGGTGGTCTAGCTTCAATTGACTAATGATTTCAACTGTGGAAATACTAAATTCTCCACAAAACCCCCTCTGAATTACAAAATCATTGGTCACTGATCAGTAATTAACTTCGTATCGTTTAGATAATTAAATTCCGTCAGTTTTGTTTACTGTCACAATATTAAATGACTTGGGGTTATGGTACATTGTGTTCCTCAGTATTTCAGACACGCCTTGCTAATGAGATTTGACCTACACAAAACTTTGATGTACTACTTTTTATGAACCATCTAACGTTAAATATGGCGTACACTAATGTTACGCTTCATAGTTGTAAAACGAAAACAAATAAATGTTCAGTGTTTTTCAACTCATCAGACTTATATCATTCCGTAATAGAACCACCTTTAATTAAATAATTATTCATTAACTTGCTAACAAGCCAAAAATCATCTTATTGATGTTCTAAGACAATCAACAAGTGAACGTCTTAAGTCTCCGTTTTTCATATTTATTATTCAACTTTCTCATGTATGTGAAAATCTAAAAACTATGGATTCGCATGCAACTTCTGAGATCCTGTCATTTAAGCCTGATCATTTGTCCGGACAATCTAAAGCACTAAAATCTATATAAGGGAATATATTTAAATTCAGATGAAAATGCATAGTTGCAGCTAGCTCATGAATTAAGTAATCGCCTTGAGAAAAGGAATTCACTTAGCAATAACATTAAATCAATCAAGTACCCCATCATGGCTTATCTGAATCCTTAATTGATTGGATATTTGTTCGGTATAACGAAGCTTGTTCCTTTTTCTCGTACTATAAGGGAAATTAATTCGCTTTTCTATGTCTGTGATTTTTTCGTACCTTATACTACTTACAAATATATTATCTTATACGTAGTTTGAAGTCATTGGTCCAAAGCCCTGTAGTTAGTTTACGTGCTATTTGATTCAAGTTAGTCGCGTGTATCTGAAGACACTAATACTGTCAATAGAACTCAGACTAGTGTTAACCAGCTCCAAAGACGTTACAAGTGAGTTCTCTGGGTCATAATAAACCCTGTTTTAATACAGGGATAATTGGACCAATTGACCACTTAATAATAACCCGATGTCATGTTGTGTAGTACTTATGGTTGCATTCTAACAATATCGAGCGACAAAAGTTTTTTATCATTATTTTATCTATACTGTACTAGAATTCCTGTCATTATTGTTATCGTCACTCTAAGAGTAAAAAAAATATCCATAGGAAGAGCATTGGTAGTTTTGTAAAAATACCTACAAATAAACTGACCGAAATTTTTTTCAGTCAACAGAACTATGATCTCAAAAGTGCTGGCTTTACATTTTCTGAAATACTCATCTGCTTTTTTCGGGTGAATATTTTCTGGACAAACAATTATGTGCGTTGTTACTAGCGATCAAATGTTATTTCCCCTTATGAAATAAATGGTGTTACTGTCATACGAAACCTGAAAAAGATTGCCGTCAGTATTTCATTCAGCTGAACAGCATATTTTTCTCTAAATTGCACTATATTTAGTATCGCTTTTAAATAAAATGTCAATATTTTCACTTCTACTTAAACCTTTTTATGATCTAGTAATAATTCGTATATTTACTTTCTCCCTTTCATTCTAACTAATGGATTGTGATGAACCATAATTACTACTTTGATAATAGTAATTATTAATAATAGTATTGTCACTTCTCGTATCTTAACCTTTCCCCATTTTTTTTCATCTACTAAACTGAACTCATTTAAATGTTGGCTCTGAGACAGTCACCACTAATGGGATCAAATGATCATCGTGATATATTGCGAACTGATGAAAGTCGGAACTCTAAAGTAGTTAATTTGAACCCAGTCGTTTAAAGGTATTATGTTTACCGTGAGATGTGAAGATCCTAGGTTGAACCGTCGGAGAGGTTCAAGCTGTACATTGTTAAAGAGTCCCGAACTAGGACTAAAAAGATGTCTAGAAAAGCTTCCTTGTTTCAATAGGTTTTCAGATTGATGTAACAAGAACCATTTATAAATGTAAAACAAAGCCAAACGAGACGCATTGGGTTTTAATATTCTTTTGAAAATGACTGACATATTCTTTTGTTTTTAGTTGAATAAAGTTAGTTCTTTTATTATGTTATTGTAAATTATGACAGGTTATGCGAAATACACTTTCTCCTCATAAGTTAGGATTTGCCTCATGTACCTATCGAATTTAGGCATACCACAGCTTTTTTTTGATCGCCAAAAAATACAGACCGTAAATAAATGTAATGAAATTTGTACAAAAACCAGAAAAAAAAACATACAGGATGCTAAATATAACTCGCCAAGTTTCTAGAATATGTTGAACAATACTTAGAGGTGTTATTCAAGACGTCCATTTTGGCCATTTTTAGACACAATGATTAATTGTACTTGGTTTTATTTGTTCACATTTAAATTCAAATATGATGTATAGGATTAATTCCTCTATATCTGACTCCAATAAACAAATAATATCCCGCTAACTCATTATTTAATGCAGGCTAAATCTCCTAGTATAATTATGGGTTTACTCGACATTATTCAAAAGCCTGAACACCAGTTATAGAGATAGTTTATTGTTGAAGCTCAGTAAAAATCCGCAAGCGTACAGATAGCAAGCACACAGGGAAAACAAGTGTGTGTGTGTGTGCTAAAAATTCATATATATTTATGAGTGTTAATGGTTGTGGATAAATTATTGATTGTCTTTGCTTACAACCAAAGAGAGAACAGATCAAAGATTGACGTGCAGACACATGCGCTCAATCAGACTCACACATAAATTTACAAAGTGGATTAAATGTTAAGATTACAGAGAGCACACAAATAATACAATAGTTGGATGGGCCTGCTACATAAGCTCGCATCCAGAACGTAGATATTTTTTTATAAAAAAGATTTTTTAAATAACATCTATGTGCGACAAAGCGATAAAAAGATTGCTTATAAAATAAATGTACAATCCGATGTGATGAGTAAGCGTTAAGTTGTAATGACAGCTTATATGTGTTCAAAGGTTTTATATATGTGTATAGAAATGTAGATTTAACATAAAGGGATTGCATGAAGTTAAAGGTAAATATAATGAAGATTCGTAGGGCCAATAAAGAACATTTAATAAAAATAAAGGACAATTTGTAGCATTTGGGCTAGATAAATATGGTTGTTGCTACGTTCCTATCTAGAAAGTGTACTCTCCTACCGGATCTTGTTGTAATTTCCGTAGCCGTTGAACTTCGGTATGAAGTGTTGCTTGTTGCAGGTAGTTTTTGTGGTGCTTGCTCTGATGCGGATTTGGATAATTTTATTGTTGTCTGTTCCTCGGCGCGCTCTAAAAACGATGGTTTTATTCTGTCGATGCTAATCAGACCCACACATAAATTTACAAAGTGGATTAAATGTTAAGATTACAGAGAGCACACAAATAATACAATAGTTGGATGGGCCTGCTACAATGATTCTCATCGCTCCAAACACTAAAGAGCTGTCCTTTGGTGTAAATTTGAAGTGATCTTACGAAATACTACAAATCCTGAACTTCGACAAGACAAGCAAATGCTCGAATTTGAAGTTATTTTAATTTAAAACAGATTCAAGCGAAACACAGAATATTGAATTGTACAGTAAATGTATTACTTATTTACCATAAATAGCCACCTATTTGTTGAGCCGTTATGGTATTAACTGATGGTTGTAAGGAGTCTATATTTAAACAGACTGATTAAATCCAGTTATAAATAATAATATTGAGCAAATACAAATTTCTTGTCAAGCGAATAGTACTTGTAGTTTTACATGTCCTAGTTTGCTTGGCATCGATTCTTGTTTCTTTTTGAAGTAGCTTATAAGATTAACTGAAAGCAAATCCTTTCACTCAGACGGAGTGATTAAGCTTAACGTATCCAGTCATTATAAAGCTACAGATGTAGACTTTGGGCCAGCTGGAGAAGAAATCCTAACTGTACAAAGGGTCAATTGTGGTGTGAATAAGCTATTGACAACGTCAATGACTGACATCGATTCAGAACTCTATCGGAACATTAGTTCCCTCAGTAATACATATACGTTTAGCAAACGTGTGTCAACCACCACAAAACTTAGATCAGAGGCTTCCTACCAACAACGTTTAATGGTATTAGATAGACGAATGTTTAAGATCTACTTATATACATATGACTTAAAATTCACATACTCAACAGAACACTTAGCTCGTTTTCTATATTATCTTGTTAAGTACACCATTTTAGGCATAAACCCTAAACAATCATTTCAAAAACTTTGTGATTCGGTGATTAATCATGATATTGGTGACTTCTAATTCTAGTTCATGAACTTGTTTGTTACTTCAAGACATTTACTGGGAAGTTGAAATCATCTACTTCCTTATATTAATGCATCTGTATGATTTTCTCCGTAAATGTAACTTCGTAATTATTCCTTTCATCATCACCAAATAGTGCTATTAAAATGAATGAGAAAACAGGTGAGGACAACCAACTGTGCATTGATCTCACATTACAAAGTTGCTTAATAAAATACAAAAATCATACTCTGATACTCTATTTGCAAAATGTTCATTAATTGTCTCAAGTTTCGTTGTTCCGGGATTTCCACACCAATTGCTTTTTATTTCTGTTCTTCTCTTCTTGATCTTATCAATCTTCTACTGTCAGATATTCTATTCCTGGCTCACGATATATACTACTTATGTCGATATAAGTAGCCCACACCACACTCGTCCCCCATTTTAATAAGCTGTTCTCGCAATCTTTCCGATCACCGTACCACTGTCTTATTTGGTGCTGTTCATAACTCGTACTCATGATGCTGTGGCATTCGATGACTGGCATTTACACGCTTCTGCTTGTCTTCTCTCCGGATCGTGTAAACCGAGCCACGTCTCTCCGTGATAATGTATGGTCCCTCCCATTTCGGGATCAACTTTCTGTTGTATCCCCTGGCGAATTATGAATCATAAATCTGAGGTCCATTTATGGACAAATGTAATACGCCTATTCCTATTGGATAGTTGTTAAATAAGTGACCTAATCGTTTCCGTGTTCCTCTTATCATAACCTTTATTTTGACCTTGGAACTATTATTATTGATTACTTTCCCCCTAGCTACAGCCACATTGGCCAATTACTGTACAAATGTTATTTTTCTATTTTTGATATATGTGGTCTGTTTGGTTAGTATATATAACCCAGTATGCTTGTAAATAATGATTCATATTGCTGAGGCTGTTATTTGTGTTCTGGACTTAACGGGCTGGGCTAGGCAGATAGGAAGGACCGAATAGCACCCAAGACTGCTCGTACGTATTTTCTGTATCATTGCACGTTCATATATATTATAAGGGCCCAGAAATCTGTACGTTATAACACTTTCCTAACCCTGGTCCCCCTTCTATGCTACCTTTCCGTTCTCTACACTTTACCAGGTCACCCACTGTAAAAGACTTCCACGTTCTTCTCTGCTGTTCCGCCTTCTTTCTGTCTGATATTTGTTCCTTTTCCACGTTCTTCATTGCCTCCGTCCTCTCTTTTCTTAATCTTGTTGTTGTCCACTTCTGTTGTTATGGCCATGTCTTATTATGCATCGAAAGTCGTGGCTGTCTACCATACATAAGTAGGAAAGATTATTTCCTAGTTGTTCCTTGTATGGAGGCACGGTGCGCCAGCAAAATTAGTGGTAACTTTTTCTCCCAATTCCCTACTTTAGATGCTAACCATTCCTTTAACGTCCGGTTGTTTCTTTCTGTAAGAACGTTCGTCTGAGGGTGATACGGTGTAGTTCGTATCCTCTTGATGCCAAACTGCTTTAACCGGGCCTTAAACTCGTCACTTTCAAAACAGGGACCCTGGTCGGTCAGTATCATCTTCGGTATTCCGTGACCCGCTACAATATGCCGGATTATTACTTCGGTAACTGTTTTGCCCGCTGGTCTGCAATCGGTACAGCGCCTACCCATAGTGTAGCATGTTCCGTCATTACTAGTAAGTATCGGTTGCCGCTATCCGTCTGTGGAAATGGTCCCATCACATCTATTGACCATAGATCGCCGACTGTGGTTACTGGAACTGATTGCAATGGCGGCTGTGGGTATCTATCGCTTTTCATTGATTGGAACTGCTGGCACGTTAATACGTATTGGGCCACATCGTCTCTCATGCCTGGCCAGTATGCACTTTGCCGTAGTAAATCCGTCGTTCTTGCAATACCTGTATGCGCTACCTGGCAACATTCGTGTATCATCTTACGCCGCCAGTCTTTCGGGACCACAGCCACCCATCATCCTGCCAGACCAGTGCTCCATATGTGTTCACTCTCAGCCTTTCCTTTTGCCGAAGTAACATTATTACCTGCTTATCCATTGCTCGTTTGTCAACATCTGGCGGTCTAGCATGTTTTTGATTTGTTTAAACGTTTGTTGGGCGGTCTCAGTCCACGTAAACTTAGTGTTGCTCAACAACTTATATGGGGGTGCTGCTATTTCGTTGAAGTTCTGGACGAACTGACTGAAGAACGCCGCCCTTCCCAAGAACTGTCTCAATTTCCTTTTCGAATTAGGTACTGCAATGTTCTTTATAGTCAGAATTTTCTCCGGTAGTAGTTTTATTTCTCCATTTCCTACTCTATGCCCCAACAATGTGATGCTTTTTTTTCGCCATCTGTGAC